CCCCAAAACCCCAAAACCCCAAAACCCCAAAACCCCTTGAGAACACCCGAGTGTTGAAATATTGTGTGTCGCCAACTATGAAATGAAGCTTGTGTCTGCAGTCCGAGTTATTCCAGCCTGACAATCATATCCTGGATGCGGTCGAGGGTGGCCTGCTTGCCGATCACTTCTCAGGTGTCTCCGATGGGGGCTCCCACGTAGTTGCCAGTGACAACGTATCTGAGCAAGAAGAACACTTCTTTGTTCTTCAAGAAGTTTCCTTTCTGGTTCTGCTCGTAAAGGTAGACCGAACACACTTTGGCGACATCTTCTCTTTTGAAGTCGGAGTCGAGCTCACTTAGGCCTGAGTGGAGGTCTTCCAGGATGACCTTTGACTTTTCGGGCTGGCTCATGACTTTCTTGTAGAACTTCTGAGCAATTTCAGAGTCGAAGTCTGGTTTTTGAAAGTAATAGGTATGCTTCTTGAGGTCGGAGTAGAACTGGATTCTTGGAATCATCATGTCCATAATCTTTGCCATTGGTTTATAAGTATACTGACGAATAGCTGAGTGTAGCTCTTCTGGGAGAATTTTCAATAGCAAATTTCTAAACCTTACAGAAGATTCTTTTCTTTCATCAGAGTTGTAATAAATATAGCTCTTTCTAATATGATGCGAGTTGAAGAATTTAAACTTATCAATATCAAATTTTCATGGAGACTTTCCTATTTTCAACAAAGAGAAGTATGCTTCAAGATCCTCCATCGTTAAAATTTCAGATTCTTCAAAGACTTTTAAGTTACTATACAGAATATTTGGATCATCATGACTTGGAGGATTCCATCCAAGTAAAGCAAGACCATTGATTAAAGCTTGAGGGAGATATCCTTTCTCTTTGAAGCTGTCTACTGATATATCTCCATGTCTTTTGGATAGTTTAGCTCCATTATTGTTGACTAATAAAGGAATGTGAGCATATACTGGTGGCTCAATATCAAGCATGTTGTACAATAAGATGTGCTTTGGTGTTGAAGGGAGCCATTCTTCTCCTCTTATCACATGAGAAATTCCCATCAAATAATCATCAACAATGTTAGCAAGGTGATATGTTGGGAAACCATCACTTTTTAAAAGGATCTGATCATCTAATTGCCTATTATTCATAGTTACTTGTCCATGAATCATATCATTAAATGATGTAGTTCCTTCAGGTACAAGCATTCTAATAGTATAAGGCTCTCCTGCATCGATCTTCTGTTGTACCTCTTCTTCAGTAAGACCTAATCAGTGTCTATCGTATTTAGTATGACCACCTTTTGATCTCTGTTGCAATTTTCTTAATCCCTTCAATCTTTCAGCCGTACAAAATCAATAATAAGCTTGCTTGTTTTCAACCAATGTGTTTACCCATTTCTTATAAGTCTGAAGTCTTTGAGATTGATAATATGGCCCAAATGGGCCAGTACCTCCTTCTTTAAGATCGTTCTTAGTGGCTCCAACTCCTTCATCCCAAGTAAGCCCTGCCCATTTGAGCACATCAACAATTCTTTGATCCGCTCCTTCGACCTCTCTATTTTTGTCTGTATCCTCAATTCTCAAAATGAAAGTTCCATTATTATTTTTTGCAAATAAATAGTTAAAAAGAGCTGTCCTGAGCCCTCCAATGTGCATTTCTCCAGTTGGACTTGGAGCGTACCTAACTCTTGTTGGCTTGTACTCTTCTTCTCCTTCCATATCTAATGCATATTGGTATAATGCGGTAGCACTCTTAGCCTGGCTGATGAGCTCTTTGGTCGTCATGACATCAATAGACTTCTTTGTTCCTATAAATGATTAGGGATTGCCTACCAAGTCCTAAATTTCTTGCTCTGAAAGTCCTGTCAACTCTCAGTTGTCTTCTAAATACACTCTGAGTTGCAAATGATTGGTTTGAGAATGGACTTAATGGGCTAACAACTTTCAGGCTTTTGCCTAGTTGGATGCCAATTCTATTTCTAAACATTATTATTTACGGTTCAATTTAAATTTATAAATCTGGGGTTTTGGGGTTTTGGGGTTTTGGGGTTTTGGGGTTTTGGGGTTTTGGGG